AAGAATTTTGTTCAGTCAGAGATTCTTATAATTGTTGAAGATTTCTAATGTTATTTCCTCATCGCGTGTTTCATGAGTGAAATATTAACAATTTAAGTTTGTGTAACTTCAAGGAAGCTTCAAACTCGAGAGCTATTGAAAGCGAGGAGCAGCGACAGCAACGAATTCAAAGTGATTTAATTGCTGACTAGAACTGAATTTTAGCAAAAAATGTTGAAGCTCGCAGAGATCGACTCCAGCGGAGAGAATTTGACAAGGCGCCTCACGGGCAAGAAACTGGCTATATTTGAAGGACGAAGCATTCAATTATGATCCTGAATTGGATTATTCAAGCTTTCCTCCGATTGTCATTGGTAGCATGACTTTGAAGTGCACTTTTTGCGATGTGCTGAAGTTTGAAGGCGAGACACCAGGATTTTGCTGTTCCGGTCGAAAGATTTGGTTGCCAGAGCTTCCGGAATTGTCAGAGCCATTGAAGAGCTTTATGAATGGTGATCATCCAAAGTCGAAATAATATCTAAGCCTGATCCGCAAATACAATTGCAGTTTTCAAATGAATTCGTTTGGAACATCTGTGCCTATGCCTCAGTCAGCTGGATTCATGACAACTTTGTTAATTCAAGGTCGAATGTCCCACAAGGCTGGCTCTCTCTCCTATTGCTGCCCAACGAAAAGTCAAAGTTCCTACAAATTTACTTTCTTGGCGACGAAGAAACTGAAGCGCAACGTCATTGTGCTGTGATTCCTGGCACCAACAAGAGTTTGATCGCTTCCTTGCAAAAGATGCTGCACGGAAACAATCACTACATTCAGCAATTCAAAATGGTACTTGATGATAATCCAAGTGAAGACCTAAAGATCGTCATTAAGGCAAACAATAAACCAGCACAAGGCCATGCACATGTCTTTAATGCACCGGTAGTCAATGAAGTCACCATCATCATTGCTGGAAATGATTTTGAAAAGCGCGATATTGTTTTGACAGAATAAAATTGTATTTTATTATGTTTTATTTTTATTATTTTATTATTTCCCTTCTACGTGACTTTACCGAAAGAACCAAGAAGATGTTTTGACTATGCGTAACAATGACCTTAAGAGGATTTCCGAGACGCACATTTCGTGTAACACCTTGCAATATCCGCTGTTTCCACGTGGAAGGCTCGCGGTGCCTCCACGCTAACCAGCACTCACCCAAGCCCCGCTAGGGCTGGTACTACATCCCGCAACCCGGGCTGCTCGTAATGACAACACATTACCAGCCGTGGCTTCGCAAGCCCCGGCACCATACAGTGACAAGCACAGTCACTACATCACCCCCCCCCCCCCTTCATAGCTTCCAGCCGTCCCGGCTGCCAACTCCCCCCAAACAAAGCATCCGACGTATAGTTAATAGAACATAACAACAAGTGTGCTCCAACAACATCACAAAGCAATACATTACCCAACCCAACTGTACAATATATACACACAGACCTAAAATAACTAACGGTCGAACCAACAATCGCGGCGCACAATCAACATCTCCCACCCACAACGGGTAACAACGGCCGTGAGCTCGATGGCGAGCAGGATCAGCCAAATACTCGCCACGACTCACGCGATCGCGACATCCCATGACGGTGTGGGAGTGTGCAATGCGTGGGGATCGCGCAAAACGAGCATTTGAACGAGTCCGTGATGCTGGCCCTCCAGACGGTTTGGGCTCAACTGTCTGGGGAGGGCCGGGGGGGAAAGAATTCGACCCGACAAAGCCGGCTCCTCACGAAGAGCAGTAGGCCGGGTCGTCGGGTCCTCCGCATTCCAAGCACGCGAGGCCGACATGAACGGCCGCGCGTGAGGCATCAGTCGCATGGCGCCTTAGGGGGTAGGGAGTCATAGTAAGGCGAACGTTCCTGGGCCCGCCATCGAGGAACCCGTCCGCCCGACTGGGCGTGCCCCGGCAGGCCGAAGTTGTAGCAGGTGACCCGTGCGTCGCTGGATCGGGATGAAGCAGACCGTGTCCGCCGCCAGTCATCCTGCTGCTGATCTCCATCACCACGACGATCGGCGTTCCGCTGATACAGCGAGCACGCGGATGCAGGCTTTCCGTCCGCGTGTGCCTCGGGCTACGCGGGAGATGCGGAGCATGCCACGAACACCCTGTCACGCTGCAGGGTCTGCTGCGCCTGTATACACCTGGCGATCTTGAGCGAAGACACCTCCCCGTCCTCAGTGGGAAGCACAGTATGGAGGTCCTTGGTGAGCTCCAACATTTTCTCGAGGACCAAGGCGTCAAGGCCTTCGTGATCCATGCGCGGGAACGCGGCCTTCGCCAGCGCCAACAGCGCACTCCTGTAGGCGAGGGCCGACTCAACATCCCCTCTCCATCTCACGGCAAACTTCTGACGGGTGTTCAGCGGAGGCTCGAAAGTGGCGGTCATCTGGTCAAATGCCTGCGTGAGGGTGGACCTCTCGGACAGCGGGATGGTGAGGAACACCGCTAAAGGATCATCGTCAAGGGCGGGGTGGAGCGCCTTCAGCGCGACCGCCTGTGACCACCGCGACACGTCGGCTTTAGTGAGGAATCGCTGCTTAAACGCCACCCAATTGCCGCTGGCGGCAACAAATTCTTTAATGAAGGGCAGCCGAAGGCAGAGCGACTGGACGTCAAATGACGTGAACGCCCCCGCTTCAAGTTTGGCGGGCTCCGCACTTCCCGCCGGCGTCAAAATGGCGCCCGCGAGTGCGGGCAGCGGCGATGGCGTTCCCGCCCTTTGTGAAATGGCGGCCGAGTCGCCCTGTCTGGACGGCTCCGCCGCCCCCTCCTTCGCCGTCGAGGGTAGGGACCGCATCTCGACGAGGATGGAGGACGCCGCTTGGAGGTCAGCGAGATGGCCATGCGCGTCCCTGACGAGCTCTGCTACTGAAGGCGAGGCGCCCCATGCCCCAACTGCGCCCTGTTCCGCGGGCAGCATCTCCGCTCCGTGCTCGGCAGCCGTGGGCGGAATCCGCTCCTCGTCGTCTTCATCGTCCGACGCACATACACGAACTCTGCGACGTGTAGACATACTCGTCTACCGCTAGCTACAGCCTGGCAAGTTGGCCACTTCCGACACCAGTTGTAGTGAGTCCAACTGAGTCGCAGACGTTATCTTGGGAGCAACACTATGCCTGGTCCTCTGACACAGACATGCTATCTTCCCATTAAACTTGTTTACATTGACATGCCAATCGCTCCCTTTAACACAGCTGTGCGTGCGTACGGTGACATTGCTCATGTTCGACGATGGGGCTCATTTCCCATTATACTCGTTTACATTAACATGCCAATCTCTCCCTTTAACGCAGCTGCTGTGCGTGCGGTGACGGGACTCCTTTCCATCTCTGATCCCACCTACTTACCCTTGGGTGACATCCACCTCAATACCCTATATATAACCTCTTGTTGCAGCAGCCCTTTTCTGTTCAGCAGTTCTACTGCTGTATCTTTCCACCTGATGACGATTGCTTGTGTTGCGATTTTAATGTTAACAATTGATAGTGGAATGTATTACAAATGGAAACTTCGTATTAATATGAGGGAATTAAGCTGCGGTAAAGACGTTAAAGATATGAATGCATGCGGGGTATATGGAGGTGCGGGCTATCTGAAATTTTTTTACACCAAACGCTATTTTTGTGGGGTATATGCGTCTGCGGATTATATGCGTATGCGGGCTATATGCGGGAAAATACAGTAGTTACATTTATTTGTTTCGGCTTTTTTCTTTCTTGCAAGCATCGATTTTTTTTCAGGGTTTTTCAGTTAAATATAAGGGAATATTAAATTAATCCAAGACAAGAATCCAAGTCCTGGATGAAGCCAGGTAGTAAAGCTAGTACACATATAAACGAACAAGACGGTGTCTCTGAGAGCTACATTACACCTGCAATTACAAATGACACGGCTGTCCGCTGTGAGTTGTTGCAGAAGGGACACGTATATATTATGTTCCAAAAAAATAGCGCACAGTTCCAAGGTGAACAGTTGGCTGTGCTCTGTGCGTCTCAGAGGAGTGCAACACGATCGTTACGGGAGCAGCTGAGGACACGTGCCCGTGCACGCTCACACAGACATCACAACTAGGACCACATCCAGAATAGGGGCTTTTCCAATGCAGGGAAGCAGCCCAATGCAGGAAATTGTCCAATTATGCTGGGAACGGCTCCCCTCCCCCGCAATGTTTCGTTTTGTATATTGTATACATGCATATGTTCAGACAAAGGTTTTTTTTTTGTTTATAATAAATGACACTATCCATCACAAAAAGACTTTCCACTCACCTGCGATCGTGTCCAAAGTGTAAACGTGGGTTTAACTCGAGAGTGGTATGTCAGCATATAATCCAACTTACATAGTACACATTCAGATACATTAACCTGGTTTCATTTTACTGTACGAGAGCGCTATATTTTGACACGTTAATTATAATTACGCTCGTTGACCCACTTGAGTCTCAAGATTATTTGTTCAGAAGGGACCTGCCAGGTTTTTGTAGCAGGAAGGTGATATTGCTGCTGATCTATGATCTCTATTGAGAAATTAGCAGATATTTTTTTCAGCATTGGGATACATCTGGCCCAATACCAGTTGTATGTTTTTTATATATATAAAGACCACGATTCCCCGTAAAGCCCTTAACATACTGTTGGGGCAAGTGCTCTTAGCAAGTGCTTATGAAGGCCGGCGGGGGTGAGTGGCCAGCACCACGTCCGGCCGCCTTTGTCTCCCCAGTGGCGATGTTTACATACCGCACTAGGTACTCATTTGAGGCTGAGTCGACCTAGGGGAGACCAAGACCAGTTCAGATAACCGGCACTGGTGTTGTCCGTGAGCGGAAATCGAACTTGGGTCGCCGGATTCGTAGCACAGCACGCTAACCACTACACTACCACTCATTACTTTCTCTACTGTACATACACACATGAAATTACATTATTTTATTACGGTGCAATTTTCAGTCAGATGCAGAGCTTACCGGCATTCCAGGCCTTCCTTTGCTCCCAGGGTAACCAGGTAGTCCATCGCCACCCTTTGGGAAATAACATTACACAACTTATTGCAGTAAGTTTATATGCACGTGTCTTGTATTGTACATGTGTATACAGAACATTGTATACAACTGGTGTTTAGCATATTCGCCACTGAGCCGGTATACATCTTCTCACCACTATACCGTTCCTGCGGCCACTCTGTAAAGGTGTGTAATGAAAGCAAAGAATGGCGTCTGATATAAAATGGGCATAAGACCCTTAGATGGCATTCACAATGATAGTTAATCGCATGCTAATATCATCGCCCAAATTTCCACTTTGAAAACTAGAGGCATCTATAATATACAGCATTGCACAAGCGGTATTCACTCCTGCATGCTATAGTTGTCATCTGCAGCTGCCAGCAGAAACTTGCTAATGGGCAATAAGTAATATTAAACTGACCAAGATCTCGGTGTATGAATCAGTTGTCACTATTAATGAACTCTGGCTCCATCAGACAAAGCATAGTGTATTTTTGGATGAGGTAGTTGGTGCAAACGGCAGTACAGCAAATAGGTGACTGCTCTGTATGGAATGTAAATGTTCTCTCCCTCCGCGTGTGTGTGTATGTTTGATCAAAAGAAAGTAGAATACAGTTATACTCGAACTGTGGTAACAGTATCATAAGATGATGAAATGTATTATTAAATATATTAGAGTTAACAGTCAATAACTTTTTGTCAAATAACCGCCCTGAAAAAAATATACTTGGTAAAAGGGTTGGTAACATTGCAAGATAAAATATTTAACTCTCAGAGCTGGAACATCTTATGTAATCTTAAAGGAATTTAATTAATGGGGAATGAAAGCCAGTATATACGCGATTAAATGGCAAACCGACATTTTTACACCAAGTATTTTTGTGTAGGACTTTGCGACGAGGCTGGGACCATAATTCAAATATTGTGGTTGCCCAAATTAAACAAGGGATCCCAGCTGTGTCGGCTCCGGAGAGCTGAGTCACACAGTCACCAAATCGGGCATGTAAATCATAAGTGGTTCCCGGTGGCTCAGAAGTCACTGCCGGGAACTTGGGATTCAAATGAGAGCAGCCGCACATGGTTCAACTGAAATCCCAAGCGCAACGTGATGACGGTCTCAGCCCAGTCACTCATGACTGCGCACACAAAATAATATTAAAATGTTACATTGCACTTTGTGTTTTGGCCGTTATCCTTTCCGCAGCACCTCCGTTTAGCACGGTTGGCTACATACATACTTCTCAGCCACCTTTTGTGGGAGTACACTAGTGCCTAGAGACAATACAAGTTCAAGCCGCTGTGGTGACTGTGGCTCAAATGTCTAAACCGACGCAGCTGAGATCTTGTATTCCATCTGGTCAGCCACAAAATAGTTTAAGTGGTTCAATCTTGATTTTAAGCTTTCGTGACTGCAAGAATCCATACTCTTTGGTTCTTTCGGAAAGTCACGTAGTTAAAAATAAAACAAATCACAACGTTTCGATCGCAACACCGCTTGTGTTGCGATCAAAACACTTGTGTTGCGATCGAAACCTCGTGATTTGTTTTATTAAATTTTATTTCTAACTACGTGACTTTACCGAAAGAACCAAAGAGTATAGTTTAAGTGGGTTTACTTCCAGATTTAACAATTTCAAATATTGGTTTCAATGCCATGCAACAATCTAATTTTGCGGGGTCCCCTGAAAATTCCCTTCAAGTGGGCTGGTCTCTTGACACATAGGGTTGTGCTGTAATACATTTCCGAATGTATCTTTAATCTCGTGATCGAGACGGATAGAAAACATATTTTGACAGCATTGCATTTATGATTTGGAAGTAGCAGTAGATGATGCTGCACAATCACAGGAGTCCTCACCTTCTCCCCACTAACTCCATCCAAGCCAGGATCTCCTGCTGCTCCCTGCTCAACACAGAAGTTATTCCCACACACAGAACAGTTTGCACAAAATTGACACTTTGACAAATTCCAGCAAAATAATTTGTCAGCAGATAATTTTGACACATTCTCAATTGTCTTTTACTAGTCTCGTGTTTGGACAGTTGCGTTATTCCTGTAATACTGTGATATATAAGAATGCAGGAAAAGCACCGTTTACCGAAAGCTGATTGCATTCCTCAGTGTAAACTTACAGGAAAGTTAAAGGAGATACTTCCGAAAGATCTCGGATGGGAACAAGTAAAAATTAAGTGGCCATTTTACTGTTTAAAGAACTACGTATGCCTAACAGCAGAATTTAAGTTGCTCTCAACCGATGGACGTTAACATTCACCCCCATACAATTTGTGACTGTTTCGTGACACGAGAATACCACGTGGCAAGCATAATTTATTCTGTTGCTATTGCGGTATAACTCTTCTAAAGCCCGAGCCGCAGTGTTCACAGTCATACAAGATGAAAGTGTACACTTTTACCAGTTGGCCTTGGCCTCCACGAGTACCCTAGACACAAATACAGAGAACAGCGCATTATAAAAACAAATCCGTTTCACGATCAAATACACAAAATGGCAGCTTTGTTCGTCTGCCTGGTCCCTTCGTTACTGATTGTCTGCTCCGCCACGCGTCACCTCGCGCGCGTTTCTGATTGGCCGGAGCCCACGCGACGCCTAGCGCATAGGGGGAGGAGCGTACAGCAAGTAGGTTACTCATCCAAATACAGTACATAGACTTTTAAGTGTTATTCTCTCATGTTTTTTTATTCCAGTTATTCCTGTTCCCTAAGGGCCATGAAGTGCTCAAACAGACATTGGTCAAAATAACCCAACTCAGTACCAGCATGGAAACACTTTAGTAGTACACCATACACGATGTGTAGCGGTGGGAGTAATGTCCGAATGAGCTTTGGTTTGGAAACACGGCAAGTGATTGAGGGCATGTAGATAATAGCAAAGCTTGTGTGCCACGCACCCAGAGGAGCGTGTTTTGCAATTCTGTTTCCCGTATTCATATAATATTTTGCATGATCACATGTCTTTCTTCTAATTTCGATTCGTTAAGACTTTAAACTAATACATTTATTTTTATTTTACTAGGTAAGGCCTACTGAGCTGAAGAGCTCTTTTTTAGAAGTGACGTGGCCACAAATGATAGCTCACCGAAGTGGCTTATCACGTGTTTATAGCAGCCAAATACCCTAAAGGCATGTTTCTAAATATGCGTTAAGTTTAGGCACATGTTCTATTTTCCAAAATGATGTGTCTATGCCTTTATCAACACCTTTATAGCAAAACAAAAACATCAGTCATGGCTCATAGTGTCCAGTTGGCTGTTAACTTCATTCACTTAAGGTTATGATTAAAATAAAAGCAGTGGTTATGATTCAGAGTAAATCATCTCTGTAGATTATATTCGGAGCACAAGGTTGTTTGCGATTAGTTTCATATCAGCAATAAAAAGAACATATGACGAACAAGAATAGGCACAACATCTCTGTTCCTGTGATGAACAACGTTACATTGCATCCATTGATCAATGGGAATTTCAGTCTCCGAGACCAATGTTTCTCAACGAAACGTGTTCAATAAAGGAAAACCGTGAAGTTGGCTTTGATTTAACTGAGTCTAGTGCTGCTTGGTGGATTGACGCTGCAGATGATAACTGTCCCGTGCGTGGAATTGAGTCCTGGCGAATGAAGTCCGACAAGGGGCGACCAGAAAATATCAAAATTAGATCTTCATTGAAGCTAGTGTAGGGTGGTGCATCTCTCCTATAAAGACCTAAGCCCATGTCGAACATTCCACATTGCTAAGGCGGGAGAAGGGATACTTTACCTCAGTAAAATAAAGATTGGTCTCAGCGTACAAAACGTAAACAATCTTGTGCGTGAATCACCCATGAGCTTATGGTGAAGAAAGTTGATGGCTGGCCTGGCTGCAGGGACTTTTGAGAGTTAACCCCATAGAGTATATGGGTTAGGGTTCTCTTGGGGTACATTTTATTTGACAGAGTTAGAGAAGATGGGAGAGAATGAATATCAAGTGTAGGAGGCATTCAGATACTGCACCCATAAACCAGTGATAACGTTCATGCGTTTACCTTGACGCCTCTGGGGCCCTGGCAACCTTGGCCACCTTGGTATCCAGGAACCCCTATGGGTCCTCTCACACCCTGTAAACAACAGTGTAGCAAGGTTATGCTTACTCAGCACCAAAGTCTCAAAGTTTACAGGGTGGACACTCGAGTTGATGTCACAGCACAGCGCTACGTAGCATCACTCGAAACCATGCGGAGCCACTGCTATAATGCGTGTTTTCATAACGCAAATTGGATTATAGCAGTGGCTCCGCATGGTTTCGAGTGATGCTACGTAGCGCTGTGCTGTGACATCTGTTAGGGGACACATTTTTTATAACGCGGCTGCGAATTGGATATAACACGAGTGAGTGAACCGAACTGAGTCGTGAGAGTAGGAATAAGAGGTTGTATGGCTGCCTCGGCATAGCATTACACAAGGCGGGATGCTCCTGGATGCTTCTAGATGCTACCCATGTGCCTCAGTCTTTGTTCAACCTGCATACACATCTCACGTTTTATCGCGGTCTGTGCTTTACCCTATATTATATATTATTTATAACGCAATTGTTCCATAACACGGTGTTCTTCAGGAACACAACTACCGAATTATAGGAGAACATACTATTACAGTATTGTATACACAATTCATCAAAATGGATCTGCCATTCAAACTGAATTCAGCAAAATATATTTTGTATTGAGTTGTTCACAGTGCTGAGATTTGCAGCCAATTGCTTACCTGTGTATGGTATTTCTGTATCTATATGGCAGCAATGTTCGGAATCTGGGTCAATTTATTCAAGGGATGGTGGAACAGACTTTGCTGATAAAGTCCAGTAAATGCAAAGTTTTGGAAATAAGCCAGGCTGACCAGCGAGGTAGAGATAAGAACGTCGCTGGGGTAATGCCAATTGTCTACTATAGTGTTTACGAAACACCATAACATGAATACCAGTTTGCATCTTCACACCCCGTGGGTTAAACTAAACTCTTTTTTATTTACCACTGATCTATATAGCTTTTTTTTCATGAGCGATTTGGCCACAAATGATAGCCTAATGAAGTGGCTCATCACGTGGAAATTTATAGCAGCCAAATACTCTGAACGCAGGTTTCTAAATGTGGCGCGAAAAACCAGAGGACCCGGATAAAATTCCACACAACCACTGGGAGAACATTAAAACTCCAAATATACAGGCATCAGAATCTGAATCGAACCCACGACATCCAGTATACCAGGTGAGGTAGTTAACATCTCGCCACCACGGCAGCCATCTCGCCACTAGGTTGTGCCCCCAATCCCCCCACCCTCCACCCAAGGGGTGACGCCTGTCAAGAAAAGGTGCGCAGGCTGCAGCATGGATACCGTGCAGCACAAATGTCGAATATATGCAGAGAACGTCAGCGCCACATTGCTGCGGCAAACACACACTAATGCACAAGATGAAACGAATGGATTATGAACACAAAACACACGTGCACACAACATGGAACCCACGTTTTACTAACACTGCGATGACTCGAGGTGTGGACATGTGACCTCTAAATTACTTGTATTGTGGCCTTCGTAACCTGGGGGGATGGGGGGGTCAGGTGGTCTTGATTGGGGAGCTGCCATCCCAAAGAGGTTGAGAACCACCCTTTGACATCAAGGCTTCACCGGCCTATCTTCACATTCGCTACTATGTGGTATGTAACACCGTTCCGTATGTTCCAGAGAGTGCTGTAAACGGTTCAATGCAGCGCTATTTGTGTCTATATATATTAGGAGGGCATTGATTCACCAATTCATATCAATTGTTAAGTTCTGCAATGCATTCATCAACTTGCTTGTGCAAGAGATCGATGCAGTTTTTTTTATATTTTGTTTTATTTTGTGCACACCTGTGACCAAATCACCGGGAATGTGCCCGAATTCGTCAGAGCTCAGAAGGTCAGCAGATTAAAGCCTGGACAGGGCTTGGATGGGTGGTGACCATGCGTTAAACCGGTGCTAGAGGCTGCTGCGGGGTTAAGTTGTCTGCGGTGGGCACTGAAGAAACATGACTTGTCCTATTGTACAACGGTAATATATGTGTAGTGTAATAGCGCTGGCTATTGGTCAGCAGCGGCAGCTGTGGTGGACAAACAGTACACACGCCGGTGAGCGTGAGTACAGGTGTGTTGACAGAGCGGAGGAACTAGGGTAAGGGTCATGGAGGACCCCATCTAGAGGCCCCTGGAACCTGCTAGCGGGTTCGAGAAGGGAGGCGTGGTCAGGGCGAAGCCAGGCCGTGCTGGTAGCATAAAAGGAGCCGAGAGCTGCCGGTTCTGGGAATGGACTCGTCTCGTCGTTGCTGTCGTCTCGTCGCCGTCGTCACTAAACGTCTCCACTAGATATTGCGCTATGAAGGATAGTAGTTGGCTATCTCAGTCAGCACCGTCAGTGTTAGACGGCTAGTGTTGCGTACAGGCTAGGCTAAGCTACTGTGGAGAGTGTGCGGACGAGACCGTGAAAGTTGTTAATAAAGAAAGTGCCTCCTAGAAACTCTGTCTCTGAATCATTGACACTACATATGTACGGTATGCTGAACCTCTTCCGCACCATATGTAGCTAACCGTGCCAATCGGAGGTGCGGTGAAAGTGCAGCCCTGCAATTTGCTTGCTCATGACAATTGGTGGAAATGCCTTCATGAAATGGAACTCTGGAGAGCCCCTCTATAATGTTTTTGGCCAATTCTTCCACGCTGGCCAGAAATCTTTGGAAAGATGGAAGTACCTCCATATTTACCCCACCATGGTGGAATCAATCAATCCAAGTTCATCACGCACATTATTCAGAAAAAAAGCTGAGACAGTAGCTCCAGCATCTATGTTCCCACCTTCACCAACCAGTATGAACCACAATGGTGAGGTATGGTCTAACGACTCCCATAACCTGCACAATGCACGGAGACCCATATCCAGCATTGGATTGACACAATGGCTGCCCATGTAGCCATGTTGTGTGTACAGTATTCCCTCATTATTCACAAACTTGTTATTCGCGATTTTGGCTATCCGCGAATCGCATCTGGAAATTTACACGACTCCATCGAGATAGAGAGAAATTGATTAGATGCGAGAAAGTGATGAGAAAGTGATGAGATAAAGTGATTATGTGTAGCAGCATCATAATTTAAGGTAAGTTCATTTATGAACTATAAATTATTACTCTAAAATGTTTTATGTTTATTATCATAAATAGTTGTTTGCGTTATGATCATTTTCATGTATTTAATATCATATTTACGTATTTATTTAAGGTAGTGTAATTAATTGCTAAGATAGGTTTTCATAGGCCAATATAATTATCCACGAAATTTGCTATTCACGAGCATCTCCAGGATGTATCCCTCGTGAATAACGAGGGAATATTGTAGTGACATTTTAACACTTGTGAATAGCCAATCACAGTATGTAGAGGATTGAAGAAGCAATTGATATTGTTTCAGCACCCACTTTGACAGGTTTACATTGCTCCAGAGCTCCACATAATATCAAACGTGTTTTCCCAGATGCTCACTGCTGCAATAATATCGTCACCGTTCTGTCACCCACCTTGCCTATATGGCCAGGCATCTGGTTTCGTCAAGTGTGTAATAAATTTGACCATTGTATTATTTTTGTTCCACCCAACATTTTCCAAATCCCATTTTTTATTACTGAGCATTGTGGCCACATTCATATTTGATTGTGTCCATGCCCCCACACATGGTCGGAAATAGTGTTGCCACCTTTTCCACTGTAGACCAATGTCCAGACGTAGGTCTATCTAATCCGTGCGATGTACTGTCATAAAGCTCAACACATCAATACCACTACCAGATCTGGGTACAAATCAATTCTTGCCACTTGCCACACAAATGGCAATTACTGGACCCTCCTGGGTCAAAGCCAGACATGTGGCAAAGATATTTGGAAACAAAAGAAGTCTACATCAAGTGCAGATGGGGTAATAATAATTCAAATGTATAATGCGCAGACATAATTACATTTACCGACTCCGATTGCCTGTTTTGAAATGGCAAGGCGTTCCATAGCTTGGGTAACACGCTAACAAAAGTCAGATCACCAAAAGGGCGCAACCTAGATCTGGGGGTGCTAAGCAGTTGGAGGTCAGAAGATATTTAGGACCTTGATGGAATATACAATTGTATCAGTTCTTGCAAGTAATGTGGGGTGAACCCTCTTAAAGCCTTATAGGTTAATAGCAGTTTCTTAAAACCTACTCGGAATTTTACCGGTATAATTATAGCCAATGAAGAGATAAGAAGATTGGTGTAATGTGCTTACGGAATGGTGTAGGTGTAAGCACTCTAGCAGCTGCATTCTGAACAAGCTGGAGTCTGCCCAGTACTTTGTTCGGAATCCCAACCAGTAAGGCATTGCAGGTAGTCCAGTCGGGATAACACAAACGCATGGACCAGTCTCTCCAAGTTTAAAGAGCTCTGCTTAAAGTTTGACAATTTTTCCTGCTGTTTTGATAATTGTGTTGATATTTGTGACAACATTTAGGCTGTGATTAGCATTGCAACAACATAATATACAGGCAGTCCCAGCTTACACGGCACGAGTTCCTGGAAATCTAGGTGTAAATCGGACCCTATTTTCCCATAGAGAGTATAAACTGTGTTTTTCCTTTTATCGTCCATATTTAACAGGGTTTAATAGGTACAAATCCACAAAAAACACTTCAGAATAACAAAATCTCCATACCAAATCACATCGGAAACCGGACTGACTCTGTTCAAATGTGTTCGGAGTCGTGTCGGAAGATGCGGCGTACATCAAGTTTCTGTGTCGTAAATCAATCCATGGTGACATTAAATAACCTTCGTGAATGTGGATCTTTCAGAAATCAGACCATAGTAAACCGGAGATGGCTGTATATTTAAAAAAAAAACTTTTAATCCACTAATTCAAGTTCAAGTTCAAGTTCATTTATTAGGTATAGCCCTGTGAGCCATTCAGCTCTTGAATCGGGTGCAACCGCAACAAACAAAAAACAAAAACATGAACAAAAAAACATCTTAAAGTGAATATGTGACTAAGTGCAAACAGAAAATCCAAGAAAAGACAGCAAAAATATTGCAGAAAAAACACCGTACACCAACACTTGAGTCACTGAATATAACCCCCATGCATATTATAACAGTTAATCCTCGTTATACATACAGGACAGTATATACAGTTTATATACTCACGTGATCATGGTGCATAAGAAGCAAGAGATGTGTTTAACTTACATTGCTGCCATCCTCGCCAGGGTGCCCTGATGTACCCGTCTCACCCGGAGAGCCCTGCATACGATTAATGTCAGATGTGGATGTTTATTTAAATGGCAGAATGGGCTGTTGTTTTAAAGACACCCAGAGGCCATGAATAAGAGTGGTTTATAACATCGTGTAAAGGGGCTCTATCCTTCAAACATCTGTATTGGAGGGGGGTAGAGAGGGAGTTTATGGCAATGTTTGTGTGTTGTACTTCTTTCGCGCCATACGTAGATAACCGTGCAATGTATGTGCTGTGCAGCAAAAACATGTTTGCTCTCTTGTATGTTTTAACTGTTCTTGCAAGATGGTTAATTTGTCCGCGAGCTTAATGCCAATAGCGAGGTCTGCTGGCCACGATGAGAGGGCTTCAGGAGAGAGAGTTTGTGTAGATTTGCTGTTCCACTGAAGTAGCACAGACCACAGTGGATTACATGGTTTGGGTTGCATGGCCACAAGCGCACTATTGTGGCTTGTCTTTACTTTAACATTCATGAAGGAGATGCGCGCATTGGCCTGGTGATGTTCTGATGCGGTTGATCGTTACACCACCGGTGTCTTCGAGGAGGCATGTCAGAGCTAGGAGGCGCGATGTTCGGGTCTGCTTTAACCAATTTTCGATCAATCTAGTTATAAGAATGACACATGACAATCTATCTTCATGTGAAGCTACTGTAATGCAAAGGTAACACTGATGCGACATTATGTGACACTATATGTTGGAGGGAATTACTGAAAGTGGCACACTTGTTTATGAATACCTCAAAGCCTGCAGAACCTCTTAGGCCTCTTCTGCCAGGTTGACCATAGCAGACACAATTAATGTTACAGCAGATCCTTTCTCCCACGTTTATCTGGTGACAAAATACATTTCAAATTTTAGACTCTCAAGCAAAACAGTTTTACTGTACGGAAATGTAATTTCGTCATATCGTCCCTCCGGATTAACATACTTTTCAGAATAACGTTTTTTTTATTACCAGAAGATTTACGAAGCACATAAAATTTACATATTCCAAAATAACATGAGTGAGCATTTCAATATTGTAATTTTGAAGTCCTGGTGGTTACGTTTACCTTATACCGCTACCATGGATTGTATAACTCACATTCATGCCAGTATGGTAATGCACCCAGTGGGAATGTGGGGTGGCTATGACGCTGTGCACACTTCGTCAGCCACCTGCTGACGTAGTGTGCACGGCATTGCGCCCTCAAGGACGTCCAACGCGGAGACGGAGACATTAAGTCAGAATCAGAATCTGTCTTATTTAGAGTGGAGAAGGAATCCGATTATCTATGAAGCTCTTTTTCACAGGTGTCCAGTTGGGGGCGGGTTATTAAGTTACAGCAAGAAACAATACAAAAACACGATAGGATAGGAATGCAAAGAATAGGAAAGATAAGCAAATCACAAAAACAAAAAGTTTAAAGTGTATAAGTCGGCTCATATGCGGAAGGAAAGATGGATTGTTGCATTGAAAGACTGAGAGGGATGGCAAAGCCTTGGGGCGGCCTTAACCCAGCAGTGGATACATCATGTGGATGGTGATGATGATGGCAGTACTCACTAGCTCCTCCGCAAGAGAAATGCCCAACTCATGCATGTTGAGCTGCAGGTGGCGCTGATATCTTAGGCCTCTGCCAAACTCTAACTCGTGCAGGGACTCGTCCTGTGATGTCTGCAAGGCCACTGTAATCAAGGCTTGTACACCTAGACAAATAGAGGCAGGGCATAATGTACTGTGTTGTGATTGATATGTAAAAAGTACCTTCCACTTATTCACAGACGATAAAAAGCCATTATAAAGCATGTGCAGTAACTATGCACACTATACTGGATTCCAGTAATCGTAAGCAAATCTTTAAATAGAGTAAGCATTTCATAATAACCAATACTATTATTTGTTTTTAAATACAAAACATAAGAATTGCAGTAATATTGCATATTCTTCACATTATTAGTGTAATAACTGGTACAGGCGAAATTTTGACGTGGCAGAGAAGTCCTCATTTTAAGCAGCAGTTACAGAGCGCAACAAACGGTTATGACATTGCAAACAAAATCCAAACTGTGAAGACAGGAAACACAGGAAACACTGAATACGAAAACAAAAGTTGCGACATTTAAGTTGCCACCGAACGCACTACTCTAGCCTGATACTTCTGCATGGCCAGCCGGGCGGTGCTGGCTCTGCACGCGGCTTGTAACGCCGCGCTGTGGAGGCGTTGATGGATCACACAAATGTCGTGAATCTCCCTTCCCGTGGGCATCGAGGTGCCATGACGCTGGCCTTCCAGGAGAAGGCGAGACGGCAAATGTGGACTCCACCTGTTCCATCTGCATGGGATAGAGTGTTGTCCCCTCGCACGTGTGGGGTTTTGTCCAGGTGTTCCGGTTTCCTCCCAAATGTAAACAGTCATGAAATGGCCGAGCACGTTCCTTTGGAGTGGGCAGGTAGGAACTTGGTTGGATAGCACATTTGTGCGATCCGTGTGGGATACTGTAGTCGTGTTGGAGGTTGTAGCTGTTACTATTGCATCTGATGATGATTCTTGATGTACTGCTGATGTAGGTCTTTAAGTTCATGCAGCTGCTGCAGCAGGTCGCGCCTGTGCTGTGACGCCGCCTCCTGCGTGTACCATGTGCGCCAATCCACCTGACCTGGTCCTTGAACGGCCACGATGCTGTCGTAATCGCACACCAGGTGCATGGTGTTGAGCAGGGCATAGACGCCGCAGTCGTAGCCGCTCGGTTGCTGCGGCACAAGCACCGTGGCGATCGCCACCGGCGTGCTCGCCGGTTCGGCGCGCACGACTAAGACGCGATTCAAGTCGTCGAGATGGCCCGCCAAGAACTTCGTGTACAAGAACGTGTTGAACAGGTGGATGTCTGCCGCTCGCAGCAGACAGTAGAACTGCCCGAACAGGTTGATAATGATATACACGACAGACAAATAATCCCTGGTGGGCAGTGTGGAACCTGTTGTTCCTACCTGTATAACATCCTAATACATAGAGGACCACAGAGCATGGAAGGGGGGGGGGGGGCACCGGCTCACCGCCTGACTGCCTTCCCGTTCGTCTGTGGGTTCCTCCTCGCACCGAGTCGTTCTCTCTCCTCGAGAGATTCAGCTATTAAATGATCACCATTGGGGTGACGTTCCTCGCCTGCGTTTCTACGCAGGCTGTTGTCAGAGCTGCGATGCCGGCCGTGTGAGCGGGCTGCCGGCAGCCTCGCAAAGGTCACAGGGGCCCCAAACTCAAACGCGGCACGCCCGGGAGTGTGATGGAGGCACATGCCGCGTACAAGCATCAACCAATGGGTCAAAACCAAAGCCACAAAACACACATGGATCATTGTATTGGCTACGAAACCCTACGTTTGAAAGTTTCATCACCCATCTTGTACGCACGGTTTTAGTGATATGTGCAATACTGTCTATGCTGCCCATCCAGTCCCAGAACCCGTTGTCTTACATTTCCACGCAGCAACAACCGAGAGGGGTGCGATGCCACCACCCACAAAGGACGGAGCAGTGCATTGAGTCTTGTGAAGTCACAGCGCGCAATAATGTGACAAGTCGGGGGCTGTTGCACTGTTATACGAAACGGTTGTCTTCAGTTTTGGGCGAAATTATTCATTCATTTATCAACTTTTCACCTGGCATTGAAGGGTAATTTAAAAGAATCTGAAAATGGCAGTAACGTTTTTTGAAACCTAGATTATCTGCAAACGCATATAATGTGCTAGTATCCAAGCGTTCCATTGATTTGATGGGTATCTGGTTCTTACCTACTCGTTTGAGGTTTTCAATACTTCTCTGCAGGGCAGGCACATCCTGGTCCAATCCATCAGAAAACAGCACTAATATCTGCAAATATTCATTACAAAAATTCGCTATTTATTAAAACAAACAGCACAATCAAAGTTGTAAGTGATAAAAATGCGTTGTAGCACGTTACTTGAATTCAGCCAAGTTATGATTAGTGTATAAGAACTTGGGAAAAGGGACGGTGGCGATGGGAGGAGGGAATTCCAGGGTTGAGCAGTGAGAGGGAAGAAGCAAAAATCATTATTGTGAAATGTAGTGCGTTGAGTGACACGAATCTTGTCAGTTCTGGTAAACCGAGTCCTCATCCTGGCAGGAGAGAGAATCAAAGACCGAAGTTCATGGCAACGGTAATCATGCTTGTAGAGAAAGAAGACGATTGAGGAGATAACTGACCCCCGGTGAGTGAGTGGAGTGACGCGGTGAGTGAGTGGAGTGACCTGGTGAATGTCTGGAGTGATCCGGTGAGTGAGTGAATTATCATCTTGATTGCTCCACTATGAATTCCATCATCCAGTGAAGTCGAAACTGAGTGCTCCACCCCGCCCGCCCCCCCCCATGTCCACGACAGGTCGTGGCTGTGCCAAGTGGAGGAATAGGTTGTGACTGTGGACAATAATATCGTTAAATATGATGGGAGGAGGAAATGTGGAATTGACAGCCTTGTGTGGTATTATCATTGGCTGCGAGTTTTTTGTTGTTGTTGAACGTGATCGGGTTTTGTCACCACAATCAATCCTTGATTGTGGTGACAGGTTCACTGCAGTCACTCACACAATCAAGGATTGATTGTGTTCAGGTCAGGGGTGGCCGACAGTTGTCAGAATCGCAGCAATGAATTGAACACTGAGGGGAGCGAATAATTGCAACTCGTCCTGCTGTATGTCATTACATGTATTATTTCGTCCCGTGAAAAACATGGTAGCGATATGTCCGTGGACTTCACTTTTACCCCAGTAACATTTGACCACACAATACTGTAGTGTAATTGTAACTGTAATAATTTATTTTAAAAAAGCCTGTTTGCACCTTTTATACGTGTTGAACTTATTTCGCACCGTATGTAGCCAACCGTGCTAACATATATATCATGTTCGCACTTCCATTTGCCCATGAGTGCTCTGTAGTGACTGCCAAATATAATATTGTTTCAAGTCTTAAACCTTAAACGGCATGGGTTATATTGATATCTGGAGCCGTTTTTCTCAATGGTCACAGCACGTACGTGGCCTTCTGGATGTACAGAAGGCCACGTATGGGGCCCTCTTATTCACGCATGCCAAAAATACACAATGACCACTTTGTGGAGCCCTTTTTTACGTGGGGCCTGGGCGCAAATTCTGTCGACTGCAGCTGTGTTGATGATGTGTCGTAGTTTACACGGACACACTGGCCACGTGGCCTATGCGAGGTAGGAGGCAGTGTGTGGTGTTGCCTGGCAAAATATGTCATAATTGGCTATCCCCGGTCTGACCAAGTGGGAACTGGAGATACCTGAGGTGCTGCTAGCCCGAGGTTATTGCTGTATCACTCCGTGGGTTATAAATAATTTAATCCGTCTGCTGCCACAGCAGTGCAGAAGACATGTAGACGCCGATAACGACACGTTCTCACCTTTATCGTGGTGTGTCTAGACTCATTGTAAAATTTCATTGCAAGATTGTAAATGGATTTATCCGTGACCACGTATGGCCCACGCTGCTTGATACTTCTGGGCACATTCCAGGCAAGGCCCTGGATCACGGGTTGGAAGGTGGACTGTTCGACGATCGAGCCGTCGCTTCTGAAGGCTGCCACAGCAAGCCTGGGTGTGATCAGCTCTCCGCAACTGATGGAGTTGAGATTCTTCATTTGCGCCACTGCCTCAGAGAGCTTATTTTCCAGCTGAGGCTGGGAGAGACTGATGCTCTGGCCATCCCTCACATTGGATACGTCCACAGCAAACACAATGTCCATAGAACATTCTGCAACAACAAAACAACCAAGAGAAATGCCGGTGTTTGATAATAATAAATTCCGGTGTGGTTATTAATAGCAGTACTCACCGGATATACATATGTTCAACCAAAACATTGACATTTAAGGGCACAGTAGTCCATGGTTTGTACAGTATGAGCTTTTCTTGGTATATACGCTACGTAAATACTGAAGACAAGCATTTAGTAAACACTTCCCCCAAGATACTATGGTTGAAATGACTCCACTCGCTCTCCCCGAACACCGACCATCAAATCCTGCTCCTCCTCCACCAGTTCCTCAAATGTCTGAATTTTAATGGGAAGGTATCACCGTGTGCACTTTTCACTCCGTACGCAGAGAACACACAAAACCTCACTCACAAGCACCGTTGCAAGCCCTGCTTCCTCCTGCTCTTTGGGCAGACTCATGTGTGGCACGGCCTTGTGGAAGGGTCGAGTTATAGGGGTTGTCCACGGTTGTGAAAATTAACACAGATCAATACAGTCCTGTGCTTCAGAGGAGTGGACCGCGTTGAACAGATGGCACGCACATCCACTCTTTCACTTATTTTATCTTTACATTCCACACCAGTATGCAGTCTTACGTCACAGCTAGTGTTAATGAGACCCATTTGTTCTGGGCATGACTTTGAAGTAGGGCTCGTTTAATTGGCCAGGATAAATCCTACCACATGTGGAGGACACGGGGACGAATCCATTCCCTTATTTGGAGAGAACTCCCTGTGAAATTGAGGACTCAATAAGCAAAATAAATCAATAATAACCACTATACTGCATATTATTTAACATTTTGCACGTGTGGCCAGCGCTTATTCCAAATGCTAATTGTTTGTACCCAGTCGTGTTTACTTCTATTAAGGAAATATCGCTTTGCAATAATTTGCTGATGTAATGACGTAACGATTTAATAGCTTAACCATTTAATAACTTGATGTGCACGATGTGACGGATGTGTTCAGTTTTGGTGTCGTTATGTGTGCGTGTACACACACTGCCAGTCGCACAGTATCACTAAATCATTTTGTTTTTAAGATGATGCACTTTACTCCGGATATCCTCCATTGCTGGCCGCAACTCGAGCATGCACCACGGCAGTCGTGCACCACACAGGGATGCCAAGTTATCGGTTTAAAACTCATCGTGGCAATCTCTCATCGGGCGCATCTGGATGAATATGCCTCACAGCAGAATCCTCCCGTCAAGGCTGAATGGGAATGTCACGCCCAGCCCCACACATTTGCCTATTCTCACACCTGTCATCTATGTAGAACTCTCGGGTTGCAAGCAGGGCCGGATTAAGCTTTTGTAGGCCCCTGGGCTACAGGTACTGTGAGGCCCCCAGTAATCTTTTGAAAAGGAAAACAAAGTTAAATAAAAATCAAATGTATTTTTACAAGGCTAACAACAAATAAAATTCAGCATTCACAAATGAAATAACTTTTCACTTCATCTCTAGAGGCCCTCCAGCTGGTGGAGGCCCCTGGGCTGCAGCCCCTAAAGCCCTTGTGCTTTGATCCGGCCCTGGTTACAAGCCTTGTCACGGACATACAGTGATACCTCGGTTCACGAACTTAATTCGTGAACTGACTCTGGTCGTGAACCGAATTGGTCGTGAACCAAGGCACATTTTCCCATACGGTTCAATGTAAATCCGGTTAATCCGTTCTGACTTTTTTTTTTGGTTTTTGAAGCACAAAAATATGAAACAAATGACAATACACATTACTGTAGTACTGTACAGTATAGTAATGTATAAAGAGAGAACACTAACCTTGCTTGAGATGACTTCTGGCATGGAGGAAGGCAGGTGAGAGGCGGTTATTGTTTGGAGGGAGAGTCCCAGTAAGCACTCAAATGGGTGAACTGTACAATACAGTAAGTACAGTATTGTACAGTACAGTAGTACAGTACAGTACTGTATGTGCTAAAAAGCACACCAAAAATCAAAAAGTCACTGAAAGTGTCTTCACAGTACTCACAGTACTTCTTTCTGTGTCTCTGCTTCTCTCCACGATCTTCCTACAGGAAGTCACGACCATGTGACAGCCTGGAATTAGCATAAAAATGGCCGCGGCTCCTGTTCGTGAACCGAAGCGGAGTTCGTGAACCGGAGCATATTTTTATGAAATTTTCTGTTCGTGAACCGAGTTGTTCGTGAACCGAAGCGTTCGTGAACCGAGGTATCACTGTATTTCTCAATCAGCCGAGGTCTATAAAAAAAAGTGCAGTCGTGTGCTATAATCAACAATACCGGTACCAGGTCTCAGTCAAAATTAAATCCTGCCACCTGAACACAGATGTCACATTTCCGGACAGTTCAGGTCGAACAGGTGTCAACTCTCGTGACAAGTCCAGACTGGACCGCGCCAACAGAGTAGCAGTGCGGCCCTGCCAGCCTATCGGAATGGAATGTACTCACACTCCCGCAGGTGTACCAGCTCACAGTGAAGCCTCGTCCATCTCACAGAATGGACAACACATCTTTACACAGTGACCCAGCCTATACAAATACCTCGAGTCTACTGGGTTTAGTCTGCATCTGTATTTTATCGTGCGACTGTTGACGTTGGTACAACAAGCAGCCTCGTTCAAAATTCGATCAAAGCACAAGATTTGGTCCAGATGTAGTGCAATTTATATTGATAAAGCTCAGAGCGCTCATCCTTACTGATGTTGCTGATAGGTGTCTTAGCGTTTTTGAGGATTGCAGCGATTTCCGATCTTGCCCCGTCTGCAGTAATGTGTCCCAAACCCTAAAGGGCCACCTCGACCTGGGAAATAATACCATCCACTGGGATGCGTTTAGGGGTGACTGCGAAATTCAACCCTCTGAGCTTTATCAATTAAAAAGAGAGATGACATCGTCATCCTCTCAGCCCACAAGGGCAATGCCACAGTCATCATGGACAAAACCACATACAATAACAAAATTCAGGACTTACTTCATGATGGTAGCTATACAAAAATTGAAAAAAGCTCCCACCAACAGCCTCTTTACGAAAACCAACAATATCATCACTGATTCGACATCTTTAATCGAACCAACCAAGCGGATATCCTTAAAACCCTCTGCTGCGAGACCACCCAGACTGTATGGCTTACCAAAAATCCATAAAGAAGGTACACCACTCCGGCCTATCATCTCCACCATTGACTCACCCACATACAAACTTGCCCCGATTTCAGTCTGAGACCTTACAACCATTCACTGGTAAAACCACCTCAGCTGTACTTAACTCAACTCACTTGGTATCGCTAATTAAAGACATCTCACTATCTCCAGGTGATTTTCTCGTTAGTTTCAATGTAGTTTCTTTGTTTACCAAAGTTCCTGTGCCTGGCACCATTGCAATCATTGAAGATTTGGTCCAACAAGGACTGAATGCTGATGTACCGGTCCTGGTGAGACACTGCCTCACCATCACTTACATCACCTGGAATGGAACATTCTACAAACAAGTTGAAAGTACCCCAATGGGTTCTCCCTTATCTCCGGTTGTCGCCAATATTTTCATGGAAAATTTTGAGACAGACGCCATCCAGGCATCCACCCTACGTCCATACTTGTGGAAGAGGTATGTAGATGACACATTCGTCATCTGGCCACATGGCCGACCAGCTCTGAACCAATTGCTCAACCACATCAATTCCATACATCAAGCCATCAAATTCACCATGGAGGTGGAAAAGGATGGCAAGCTACCATTCTTGGATGTTTAAATCGAAAAGAGACCAGATGCCTCAATGGGCCACTCCGTCTACAGGAAAGCCACCCATACGGATGCCTATCTAAAACCTGACTCCCTCCACCATCCATCCCAGAAGAATTCCCTCATCACAACTCTACACCATAGAGCTCTATGTATTTCCGACCATCATCACCTAGCCGGTGAACTGGAGCACATACACAAAGCTCTCAAGACAAATGGATATTCAGACCATACAATCCTTTAAGCTATCACCCCAACCGTTGGGAAAGAACCATCTGAGGTCCCAATCAAAATCATCACCTTGCCATACATAGCAGGGGTCACCAAAAAATTTCCAAAATCATGAGCAAACATAAGATCCAAGTTCGATTTAACACACTACATAAAATTCGTGATCTGATCCCATCTGTGAAGGATGTGATCCCTGACATGCAATACCCCGGCGTCTACAAACTAAGCGGTGTCTGCGGCAATAATTACATTGGGGAAACTTAGCGACATGTCTTGGACCGTGTTCGTGAACATAAGGCACGGTAGGAGCAATACCTCGGCCTTGGCTGATCATTGTTTTAATGTGGTTGGCTCACACAAATTAATTTCTCTAAGACGAAGGTACTTTGCAAACCCACTGGCTATCGGCAAAGATTTGTCCATGAAGCCATCCATATATACAGACATAGACACAATTTCAACCGAGAAGATGGATACAAACTGAGCAACCAGTTTAAGTCATAACTGGCTGTAATGTCGCCATTTCAGCACTGTCTGTTGCTCACCAGTTTTTTAACCCCCCCCCCACCCATCATATTAACATAACCTTCTCCGCCCTACATGTAGCAGCCCACCGTTTTAATCCCTGGCATTAACATAAGCTCCTCCACCCATGCTGCCCCAGGGCCCTTGTGCCCCGCCCACTCCATTCTGACACTTGGGCTACGCCCATTTTAAACCTTTATAAACAGTTTGCCTTTAGAGGCTAACCCCTCTTTTTTTCTCCACTGGATGACAACCGCTTGTGTTGGAATCGAAACGTCGTAGTTTTTTTATTATTTTCATTGAACCTATCTATGTAACTTTACCGAAAGACCGAAATAATAACTATATTCATAATAAAGTTTGTTGGGTTAGATCTCGTTATTTATAAATGTGTCATAACCGTCCACCACCCGACACAGCCAAACAGTAAAAAATGTGTCACGTTTACAAAAGACAAATAGTTCACTACTTTAGCCCACCGGTGTGTTGAAGAGTGAATCAACATCATTTAAAATTTTGAGTACAAAAATTTTGAGTACGACGTTTCGCTGGCAATTACATCCAGCATCATCAGGCAATTTTCTAGAATGTTGAGGTCCTCCATTTGCTCCCGGTCTTAAATAGGGCAGCACGGTGACAGCATCTTTTAACCCAATCTGGTGCAGTGATCTGAGGCGGAGAGGGGAAGGGTATTGTAATTATATACTAGCTTTCCTACCCGGCTTCGCCCGGGACTTGGATTCACCACGCCCGGCCGCCTTTGTCTCCCCAGTAGCGATGTTCACACACCACACCAGTTACTCGTTTGAGGCTGAGTCGACTTAGGGGAGGCCCAGGACCGGTTCAAATAATCGTCACCGGTGGTGGACGTGGGCGTTAATCGAACTCGGGTAGCCGGTTTCGTAGCACAGCGCGCGAATCGGTATGCAATCACTGCCCCCCCCCCCCCCACACACAGGATAAAGACAAAGATCCCCCGTGTAGCCTGTGAGACTGTAGGGGGCAAGTGCTGTTAGCGAGCACCTATGAAGGCCGGCACGGCACACGAGGGGGTGGGTGGCCAGCACCACGCCCGGCCGCCTTTGTCCCCCCAGTGGCGATGTTCACACACCACACCAGTTACTCGTTTGAGGCTGAGTCGACCTAGGGGAGGCCCAGGACCGCTCCCCCACACACACACGCGCGCCCATAGGTACACATACACGCGCTTGCTGTAGACACACAACTTTTAAGGTGCGTACGGCAGCAAACGACTGAAATAATAAAGCAACGCTGCGCGAAGAACGCCTTAGACCTGCAACACATTTGTATGGCACTTTACTCGCGGAGGGTTGGGGGTGCGTGACGTCAGCAGGCACACTGCGTTACGCTTGCGCATGTGCGGGTGACATGACAGATGTGACGTCACAGCTCACTTACCGTGCAAAATATATGCATCATTGCGCCCCCCCCCCCAAAAAAAAATACTAAAGGTTTTTTTTTGCATGGTGTATAGTCTGGAAAGTACCAACATGCCAAATTTCAAGGTTGTTGCATGTCGGGAAGTACGCTAAACATTTTGAACAGACACACATTCACAAATTTTCCTTTTATATATATAGATTGGTAATCATTCAATTGTTATTCATTGGTATTTGTTTCCCCTATAAGGAATTGTAATTGTAATATATGTTATTTTTTTATAAATAACGCGATCTAACCTAAAAACCTTTATTATGAATAATATTGGTCGCGAAAGCCTACGTGTTAAAATAAGTATTTTCTTTGAGTCTTTCGGTAAAGTCATGTCGATAGAAAAAATAATAACTTTAAAATAATAAAAATGAAAATAAAGTGAATTTACCGAAAGACCCAAAGAATATGAATTCCTGCAGTCATGAAAGCTTGAAGTAAAGATTTAATAATGATATTATTATCCAAGGTAAGACTATCATAATAATTGTTTAACTGTGATGACAGGATCCTGCACTTGGCAGACACAAGCTAACATTTCACCCGTCATCCAACATTATCTGATACGTGCACAGAGCTGTGCGGTCCGGGTTAGCTCAGAAGCACTTGCACAGTCCTCAACGCGTTCTTACGAACTCACAATGTACGAGTTCATGGCAGACAACACTGGCCTTAGGTAGCACAGACTACTACGATGACCGACTGTGTCCAGTCAGTAAGCTCCAAACCCAACTGAACAAAAGGAAATAAGTTCTGAACTGTGGAAGCAATTCATTTAATTCTAATAAAACGCCAGATAGTAGGCACCACGGAGAGTGGTTCTCTCGCTGAGACCGAGGAATGTTCTCCAGAAACGTTAATGTAACATTTTTACTACTTTAAAAAAATCTACACAGACCAACATAAATATTTACGGAATTCTAACCTCTTCACTTTAGATCCTTGTCCCCTACTTGCTTGTAAATTGATATCCCTAAAGTAAGTTTTAATGGTGTTCATTCTGTAATGCGAACGTATACATTTAACCAAATGTTATGCTTTTATCACATTTTTAAGACTTCTTTCGTTGTGCTGACCTTATTTTCACTGTGTACACATCGACCTAGGAATGCTTTATGGCTTACGATTTCAATAGCAACATATTTGAAACTGCATCACCACAAAACATAGTGCTTTTATCACATTTTGAAGAAATGGAACGCATCCGATCACATCCAACGCGGAGATGAAGCGATGAAATCAGTTCATGTGCAAGTGCTGGATGGATCGTTGCATCGTAGGATCACAGGAGAGGAGACCTTCATCTAGCAGTGAAATGATCATGGCTGATGATGTCCTATTGGAGATCTGTGAAAAAGAGCTTCATTAGCTCATCAGATTCTTCATGTAGTCTAAATCAAGAGTCTGATAAAGAATACATTTTGAACAATTATCCCTGGAACAGCTGCACTAACTTATCCCCAAACACCACGGCCGCCTCTGTGTTATCAGTTAAGGCCACAGCTGGAGTCCCATGCACAGCAAGGCTTGAGGTCAGTGTTGTGACATTTATAACTCCCAGTGTCACTCGTGTCGTTAGCCTGATGGTCCACCACCATAGGTTGCTATCTGGTAAAGGGGCAGTTACCCCTTTGTGTTAAGTGTGTTGGTATTAATAAATGTGTTGCCTCCAAAGAGTACATCTGCGACTCAGTTGAATCCACTGTAAAATGAATGAATGAATGTTTATAAAGTACACACACCGTGCTCTGAGACTTAACAACACATAGAGGTGCGCTCACGAATAGCAAGAAGGCACAACTTCCAGCATGCCTTGCATGCATGTCCAGTGACCACCACTTTGCTTGGAAAATGCTCTCAGCCTTATCGACGCATGTTTACAATCGTACAGGTGTAATTACCATACACAGATATGAATACTTGTGTAGTAGGTTCCAGGAGACTTGGACGACGTAGTCGGAGGCACACTTATTTATTAACCACAATGTATATTACAGGCCGAGATATACAACACTCGAAGGGGTATCGGCCCCTTCACCCATCTAACAGGGAGATCACACAATCTCTGTCACGGCTAGCCTACTCCTAGGTCCTCCACTAGAGGGCTAGGGGAGGCTAGCTGACCCAGCTCTGGTTAAGCTGGGATTACGGCACCCTGAGTCCCCAGACCGGCTCTCACAAGAGCATCGGCTCTGGGCTCTCGGGGCCATGCCACTGGCTTGCCCTGGTCGGTCCTGAAAAGGACAGCGATCCAGGGGTGTCCCAGGGCCTATCTAGCCGGTCTTCTTGCTTCGCTGGTTAAAGCTGAACACTGAACCCCGAGCCCTCCGGCTCACCGCCTTATATAGCAACTCCCCCACTGAGGGGTGGGGCCGTGGGGGATCCCAGCGCCGTGTTAGCCCCCCAGGCTAAACGGTGCGGACGTGGATGTAAGCACCTCTTGGCGTACGGGCATAACCACGCCCAGTGTGTTTGTTTGCCCTCCCATAACGCCTCTACACTTGTGCACGCACACATGCCTTGCAATAGCCATCTGCAATTTACACTTGACCACCATGGATCATTTCTCAAATATTATCCAACGCTTTTGTCGGGACTCAAAGCAACAATATAAAAGAACACATTGTTTTTGTATTTATTCCCCAACACAGATTAAGGTAATCTGTGTATAAAAATGCTTCACTCAGTTCAAAAATAATCTTTAAGGGAACTTCAATCACATTCAATAAATACAATTTTCAAAATGTAAGAACTTAATGCATATTTTTTTTTATCGTAGAACTTTTTGGGAAAAAAAAAGATAAATATCGAGGGTGCTAGTTTTCTTTCCATTTGTGCACTGATCTTTGGGTCAGTGAAATTTTCCCCTGAAGCCTCTTTGGCTGAAGGCCAGTGTGGAGGTGCACGCCGGTACAGACAGTCATCAACTTACGAACACCCGACTTCCATAAATCTGGACTATGAACCGTTCGACTTACGAACGGCTCTCAGGGACTAATCATGTCCCAACGTCGAGGACCGCTTTTACTACGGAACTTTGGGGGAGAGGTTGGTGGATCACGCTGCTCTCAATACGTGCAAAGACTTACAATCCTGCTCGGCTGAAACTTGAACAACAGCTGGCAGGACAGAAAAGTAGGCACGTGACCCACCTGTACAGATCGTTGAGCGTTATCTCTTCCGTTGCACGGGTACTCGCTCTCTCTCTCTCTCTTTGTATGGGGGCTCTGTTTAATCTCACATTCACTCATTACAAAAAAAAAAATGGGCCAAAATACCGAAAGTGGACGCTTCTTAAAAAGTGTCGAACGATTTTTCCTCGATAAGTAACAAGTCATGTTTTGCGAGTTTGCAAATGTTGTCACTTGGTAACACAGCTAAGGCTGCTCAAATGTTGTCGTTATGGGAGGCAGCTGGTAAAGTAAATTGCAAATGAACAGGCACTGAAAATGTTTTTCCTTAAAAAATGTTTTCCAGAAATTGGTTACTAAAGTAAATCATACTAATCTGTAACAATAATAGCAGTATATTTTAAGTCTTTTTTATGTTGCAACCATACAATTATTCCCGAATTTTCAGTCCCACTGAACCTTTTAGGGAAACATTAAAATGACACTGCATATTGCTACACACGAGAATGTGATGTTACAATGTAAAACAAGGTCTACATTACATTACCATTTGGTTGTGCAGAGCAGAGCCTGTGGAGGTACAATGCAGTCAGAAGGAGTAGCTGTGCAGACATTGCATGATTCCGAAATCCAGGCATTTCTGCAACATATAAAACACAAAATTACAATTATGAGGGCGATAATATCTGCAGTCAAAAACAAGTTGATGTTTAGCCTTCTATGTATAGGATTGCTCCTAAAGGTTTGTTCACGTTCCAAAGTGGCTAATCACTATTACGAGATGTCACTATACACCTTTCACGTGGTAGCAATGCCAACCTAGATAATAATAAAAACAAATATCTAGATTGAATTCTAATTGATTTAGAACTGCTTTTTTTATTTACTGTTGTCCCTCCAATTAGCACGGTTGGCTACGTATTGTGCGAAAGAAGTTCAACATACAGACATGCCACGCAGCATTGTCTGGGTATATGCTTTCCCGCTCTTGCCAGGGCAGGAAGGGTGGAGTCCACAGAACCTCATGGTTCATGAATCACAGCGATGCGGACCTGGCGTCCTGGTGTGTTATTCCTGAACTTGAATGGGGCTGGCAGAGCCCATTCCTGAGTAGTCGGCGAAGCAATGCAAGGGATAGAGAGAAATTCAGTCTCATTTCTGCAAAAGTGATTTTGCTGAATTCAAGTAGAGGTTTAGAGCCCATTTTGCCAGTGCAACGGGTGGCCCCACGTTCCGTAAACAAAAGGCAAGGTCACGAAGCGGGTGGGGGGGGAGTCGCGGCCAGGGGGTGAGTTTCGTCCGGGCCGGGCCAGCTGCTCGCATCGGCGCTCTCACCCCGTCGCCACAGAACTGAGCCGACCAATCACACATCCGTACAAATTAAAGTAGCCACGCACACGCGCGCGCGCCAATTCACGCGTGGGTACGTGCCAGGCTGCTCCGTACTGCACGGTGGCGTGGAATTGTAGCGTTACGCCAAATACGACACGTTGCTACTGTGCTTTAAAAAAAACCACGACGGTAAAGATGGTGGTGATGATAAATGATGCAATGTGAAGATAATGCCAATTATAACGATGGTCCTAATTCTATTTTTGAGCATGATAGCAGCAGAATGTTCAGGAGCTTAATGCAGATGTTAGGGTCTGCTAGCCATGACGAGAGGGCTTCAGGACAGAGAGTTCCTGTAGTTTTTCTGTTCCTCCTCCGTTGAAGGAGCTCAGGCCACAGTAGTTTACTGTAAAGTCCATAGTTTGTGTTGCAGGGCTATAATCGCACTATTGTAGCTTGTCTTTAATTTTCCATTGATGAAGTTGTGCGCATCGGCCTGGTGATGTTCTGATGCGGTTGATGATTACACCACCGGTGTATTCGAGGAGGAGGAGGAACGTCGGAGCTAGGAGGTGCGATGATGTATTTGGGTTCTCCAATTTGGTGTTTATTCTGGACGCCCGCGTTGTTCCACTCTGTTCGCCAAAGTTATTCCGTGTCTGGATGAGGTTCTGGGATGGCAACAGTGTGACCCCAGAAGGAGGATCTGGACTTAATTCAGCGTTGAGGTACATTGTTGAGGTCTTGGTTGATGGGTAGGTTGTCTTTGGAAAGAAAACTTGTAGACCACCTTGCAGTGTCCACGTCTCTGTGGATAGTTAGTGGCAGAATGTTCGCCCAAGCAGGGAGTCAGGAGATTGGTGTCAGTTTCAGTGTCCTTATGATGACAGCGATGACGATGAATGATGCTGATGGTAAATCATCCCACAATGGCGGCATGAGTAGTGGTACGAATATGCTTGGTGTATTTTATTTTCGTACAGAAAGTTCTGAACCGGAATCGCAAATTGCAGGATGGGGCTGTGCGGAATGATGGCCCAAAACAAATAACTGAATCAGGCCCCAAATGTGGCTGCAGAACAATTGTGTCGACAGAGATGTGGAGGAAGGACGCACTCGGGCGGAGACGGTGAAGTGAACGATGGCAAGAACTTTCCGACACCGCAGAATTGCGCAGCATTGTTCAATATCAAGGAAACAGTGTCGATGAATATGCCTTGAATGGACATAAGTCACTTTGTTTTCTGAGCCGTGACATGCGAGGCGACTGCAACTTGTACGAATGTGTTTACGAAAACCATGCCTAGCAGGCAAACACATCACGGTAGGAGATCGGTCATGCCGTGACATAATGCAAATATTTATACATTCTTAAAAAAACCTGTACAGTAAAACGTTTTGTGTTCTGTCAATGCTGCTCACGCAAATTGTGCAAATATATAGCTATTTATAATTCAATTATAACATTTATATTGAATGTAAACCAAAATATTTGGTAAGCATTCCATGATCCAACTTCTGGAGAAAAAGACGAGTTCTCTTTTTTACTCAACACTGAACCCTCGCAGTAATCAACAGAGGAAGAGGAGCTCTTAAGGGTCAAGAAATATCAGAATATTTATTTATCACTGGAGGAATCCGATGAGCTGTAAAGCTCTTTTTTTGTTACAGATGACCAAAACATAATTCAGTGAGAGGCTGCGCTGGAAGAGGTGCACGAACACGCATAGCGAGTAAACTCAACAGATCCGTCAGTAAAACACCGTGGACTCAACATGGCGACGTTTCGGGCAATGATCCTTTTCCATACCAACGTAACTGAATAAAGAAGCAAGCGCCATTGGCTGACTGTGTGGGTGCTATGCAAGAGGGGCCGTTGCCCAACCGCGCGTTTTCCTTTCAGCGCCACAGTGCTCTTGACAAACGCATTGGCTTTCTGGTTATGGTAAGTGCAATTTCTGTTGCTGTTATATACTATGGGTAGGTGGAAGGGGTAATAAGAGGATTTGCTATTATTTTACATATACTGTACCTAAATATATAAAATTAAAAGTCGATCAGTACCTTTTGGGACAAAACCATAACAGTAGCATGTGTTTAAATGAGACATAACCTGATCATGTTTCACCTCGTATGATTGTAGAGCATGTGTGGCGCGTGAAACAAGTTCATGAATCTGTAAAACAAACATTAAAATGCACTGGGTTCACACGTGGCCATGGCAGTGGACGCTGTGCTTGCACCTAACCAGTGGTTTATTATTGCACTGGTTACATTAAGCAGTCCCCTGCTCTACCTCCTTCCATTGCTCTCTTAGATCCTCACCTATTCTCCATCGCCCATTCTCTTCCTCTTTCTTCCCCTTGCCATCCACTCCTTCCCGTCCCTCCCCGAGCCCTTTCGTGGTCCCTAACTACCCCTCTAATCGCTGTTAATCACTCTTCAATCCTTGTAGCACGCCCCTGTCAACCACATTATTCCATTCTGTCATTGTTTTGTAAGCACTGTCATAGAGGGTCTTGAGTAAAGGCGCTCTGTAAATATAAATTAGATTAGGAAAGCCTCACTGAGTCTCAAAATCTTTTTAGGAGTGTCCTGCCAAGTTTTGAGAGTCGAAGGCGATGTTGCTGCTGTGTTTCATCCAAACTGAGTAGTTTTTAGGATATATTTGAGCATTGGGATGTTTGGTCAGTACCAGTTATATTGTAACGGTGCATTGGGATCTACGGATGGAATGTGCCTCACAAAATGTTAATTATTATTAGTTTTTCTTAGATATGGGAGGATACTGGGGAACCTAGAGGAAGCCTGTGCATAACAGGGGTACAAAAATGCCAACTCCAGACAGAAACTGTGTTTTATTTTACTGGATAAGGCCCACTGAGCTATATATCTCTTTTTAAGAAGCGAATTGGCCACAAACGATAGCTCAACGAAGTAGCTTATGTGAACATTTATACTTGTCAAATGCTTTAAATGCATGTTTCTAAATATGGAGGGCAAAACCGGAGGACCCGGAGAAAAATCCACGCGACTACGGGAAGAACATTCAGACTGGAAATATATAGGTGTGAGGGTTGGATACGACCTCCTGTATACCAGGCGAGGTAGTTAACATCTTGCCTCGGTGGTTAACGATCCAGGCCAAATTAAGCTATGCAAATGTATCTGTAAAATGACGCAAACAGGTATTATCAATGCACATTGATTCCCAGAGCGTAGATATCCTCAATACGACAATGTTAATATTGTATGGTGGCAGCAGCAGACGAAAACAATCTCATCAACACACCACCACCATCATCATTGAGGTGGCTTTGAAATCCATGGGCAAATGTGAGTGCTCAATTTAATAAATCCAACTCTGCTGAGATCCTACTTTCAAATATGTGGCTAAAGCGTGTTCTCACATTGTGAATACTCACTATCAATGCTATTTCACTACTCTAAGCTGATGCGTAATACACAACGATTGTAATTCACAATGCACTTGCCGTTGGCTCAAGGCTACAATAACATTCTCAGCTTACACTTTACCACCGTGCAATGTGCAAGTTAACGTTCATGACACCCCATCACTTGTTTGCCGTTATAATTCACGTGCATATCCTTTGCATGCTCGTATACGGATATTCTCATCTGAACATGGGTAGCGAATTACTGCAGTTGAACCATTTGAAATATGATATCAGTAGCAAATTACGGAACGCTTTACCCTGTAATAATCCATTTTTTAAAACAACAACTCAACTGCACTCATTATTTACGAACTTATTAATCTCAACCATCATCTATTCACTCCTGCATGAAGACCTCCTTAAACTATTGCCATATGTATGTAAACTTCTTTCGCACCGTACATAACCAACCGTGCAGAGGTGCAGGGAAGGACAACAAACTTAAAATAAAAAGCAGTTGTAAAGAAATGAGCTTTCAATTTAGATTCAAAAGTGCATAGCTCCAGTGGATTCCTAATATCGAATGGAAGAGCATCCCAGATGGCCGCGGAAACACATTTGAAAGCGCGCAATGCAGTGACCTTCTTTGTTCCATGGCCAGCCAAAAGCCGTTCAAAGTCTTGCGAGGTACCTCAACAGACCATCCAGCACCTGCGCGCAAGCTGATTTAATTGTTCCATCGCCTCAGGGGGATGCCTTCTCGTGTGTGTTCTATTCCTTCGGCTGCCATTCCTTTCTTAGTCTCGATCATCGGCCAACGTCACTTCCAGTGACGTTTCCTGCCAAAGGCCACTTGTGTTTTATTGCCAGTCAATGATTCCTCTAACTTGCGCATGTTATCGAATCGCGTCCATAAATGACGTCACGCACCTAGGGGGGGTCAGACATTTGTGACGATGTGTGACTGGGGGGGGTTTAAATATAGACAACACGTTCTACTTAATTAAATAGACTTTTTAATAAATGTTTTCTCCTACAACATCAGAGTGCAGCGGCACATTAAATACGCAATACAATGACAATAGTTTAAAGCGATTTGAAGCATGTTTTATTTGGGGGGGGGGGAGGCAGAGCTTTGTGACGTCATATTTGAGGGGGAGTCCGACTTTTTTTGACGCCGAGTGACGATGGGGGGGGCGGTCCAAAATCGTCCAAAATCGCGTGACGTCATTTATGGACGGCCCCTAATTCCATCTCTGTGCCCCTTTCAGCTTTTGTTCAATTCTCTTTCTCCAATGTCATTCCCCCACACCTACGATTAGCGCGGTTGGCTACGTACGTTCAACATACATATAATGTCCATATGTATGAACATTTTGTCATATCAGGCACGTGAATATACACTGGTTAAACAGTTACGTCTGAAGGCAGATTGGTCAGTATGTTGTCTTTCACCATTAAGTGCAGTTTTCCAAAAGAACTCCACCCAGCTTTCATTCACCTCTATATTTAATCGTTTTCATCCTGGCTCAGTTGTTCTGCTAAGTATTCCACGTGTGTCCCCTCGAACGTAAATCTTCCATTGTTTAGTGACTTTATTGACTCAATAAAAATCTGACTTGGTGAAAATGAATAGTCATCCAAGGCGTGCATTAAAATATATTTAACAACAATAATAATGAAACATGGTTTAACAAAATTATACGGCGACAGCAAACTCTGAGTAAAACAAAGAGACACTTTCGTCAGAGTAATTCACAGTGACAGAAGGTATTTTCCAAAAATGGGAGAGACAATGACGTAAATTATTTTTTTCCGCAAATGAGCTCCGCAGGGTTACCGGGCTCACTCTTCGTGATTGGGTAAGGAGCTTGGTAATCCGGGAGAGCCTCAGAGTCGAACCCTTGCTCCTCCAGATCGAGAGGAGCCAGTTGAGGTCGTTCGGGCACCTGGTAAAGATGCCCCCGGTAGACTCCCCCTGGAACTCTATCGGGCAGCACGTCCCACTGGGCGAAGACCCCGGGGCCGGCCCAGTATACACTGGCGGGACTATGTCGCTCGGCTGGCCTGGGAACGCCTGGGAATTCCCGGGAATTCTCCAGGAAGAGCTAGAGTCTGTCGCCAGGGGAAGGGAGGTCTTGACCGCCCTACTCATCATGCTGCCGCCGCGACCCTCACCAGGACAAGCGTATTGAGAAACGAACAAACGGACGATGACGTAATATTTCAATGATGGAACTATGAACAATCCAAGATTATTGTGCCGACGACAGAGCCCCGAAAGCAGCCAAGGAGAAGGAACCACGGTGGAATGATTGACGAAGCTTATAAAGGTTGCAAAGCCAGACTCAAACGGAAAAAAAACGAGCCAAATAACAGCAAGGTGGAACATTTTCAGTCGAGTGATGTCGGGAGCTTGCTGAGCCCACGTGCAGCCTGGCAGCGGGCGATTCCAGCGCCACATCTGTGGCCTCTCTCCCCGCACGCTGCCGGGGGCCTCTTCGCCAAGAGTCGTACCCTGTGTGTGCGAGAGGGCACCCACTGGCCCTCTCTCTCTCTCCATCTCCCTCGCGGTTGCCCATCGTTTTAGGGGCATAGGGTCACGCGACAGCGCCTTCTTATTTCGACGAAATTTAGAACGCGATTGAAATATCACAAAAAATATATTGAACGTATTTTTTCCCCTCTCTAAAATCTGTTATGTGTGTGTGTTTGTTGAACTTAGTTGCAACGCACGTACCCAATCGTACTAATCGGAGGTGCGGGCGGGAGATATTACAGTGTATTTGGTCGTATTAGGTAAACCATCGTAAAATTTGGCACTATTTTTAAACATACAGCTCTCTGCAATTTCATTTATATATATTGTGCAGCGATGTATTTCACTAAATTCTGTATAACTACACAAGAGAAGGATTTTCTCTGGATATCGTTTTAACAGTAGATTCACCCTCATCGCCACCCAAAAAGTCGACCCTAACTGACTTATCTAACCATCAAAGTTTCGCAACCAAATAGATCTTCATTTGCAATGCCTTTTTGTACTTGTTTCACTCCTTAAGTCACACGAATGCAAATCGCTCGTCCGGATTGCAGTGTCCTGTCGGTGAATCTCGGCGCCGTGAGAGGGTCCATCCATGGCTCGTCCCGAGCATCTCACACAGCTTCTAGAACTGCATAGCCAAAGGGGCTTCCCCGGCATACAGAGTCAGAATCTTTATTGTTTAGACTGTAGGAGGAATCCGATGAGCTATGAAGCTCTTTTCTCACAGATGTCCAGTATGGTCGGGTCAGCAGATTACAACAGCAAACAGTACAAACATAAACCGATAGGAGTGCAAAATAGAGGTTCAGAAAGTCACGAAATATAATTCTAGATTTGAAGTTTTCTTGACTGCAAGGATTCATACTTTTTGGTGTTTTCGGTAAAGTCAAAAATTTAAATAAATTCAATCACGACGTTTCGGGCGCCACCGCTGAGACACACACAAGTGGTGTGCTTTCGCTAAGTTGTCCCCACCTGAAGAAGGACGCTAGTTTTGCGCCCGAAACGTCGTGATTTAATTTCTTACAAAATTTTACCTCCGTGACTTTACCGAAAAAAACAAAGAGTATCACGAAATATAAGTAAATAATACATTCTATAAGTCCGATTTATGAAGCTTGGGCAAGGCATCAAAAACAGGCAACAGCGTTGCTCTGCTCTGTTGTAAAATACTGTAGTGTAACAATCACACGTTTTGCTGGTTA